TATATATATGCAAATTTTTAGTTTTATGTTTTTGTTAGAAACGTTTCCAGACCAGTTCAGATAAATTGATAAGCGTTTYCAGATAGACTTTATTTTGAAATTCTGTTCAGGATGTAGTATTCTGTGCTTTCCTCAGACTTGACGCCGGTCATGCCCGGCAGACTGTGAGGATTAACAGTTCTGTTGCGGCTCTCTGCAGGATCAGCCGGACTGGTGCTTTCAGCTCGGCGAGACAAGAACCGGACCAGATTTATTTCCTGGGACACTATTCTATTCTATTCTATTCTATTCTATTCTATTCTATTCTATTCTATTCTATTCTATTCTATTCTATTCTACTGTCACCTGCAGAGAAGACGCGCAGAGTTCTCAGTGAGGCGATCAGAGACAGAGTGAAACATGGAGGCAGAGGGAGTGAAAATCTCCAAATCCCTTCACTGACAAATATTTAACGATCTGCAGCAAAGTAAAAAAAAAACTCCTGGATTTTAAATTTTTTTTAAAGGAGCGATTAACAACCGCCAATCCCACCGGAGACGGAAAGAATCGGAATAATCTGACTTGTTATCTCTTCACCTGGGATGTTGTCTGTCATCTGCTGGAATTTGTCCTGTTCCACCTGCGCAAAGTGTCAGGGATAAGGAGGGGGGGAAGAAGACTCGAGGAAAAGAAAAAAAAAAGAGAAAAAGGCGAGGGGTGTAAAACAAAAAGGAGGGGACAGCAGGGGGTGCGGGGGGRAAAAAATCACTCCAGTTGTTCTCCCGGATGGTGTTTCGCTCGCCCCGCGGATGGAGGGATGAATCCGGGAGAGAAAGAGACGGGGGAGAGTAAGAAAGAGAGAAGAGGAAGAAGAGGAGGAGGAGGAGGATGTAGTCGCTGGGCGCTGTGAGAATGCAAAAACGGGCGCACCCCTGATGAAAGAAAGGATTGAACTCTAAATCCAAACGGAATTTACGGCCACGCGAAGGATTTTACCTGAAACACCTCACATACATGGGAGCTATTCTCTTATCTGGAACCTTTCTGTGTGGAGTTACAACTGGAAGCATCACTATCAAGATAACGATGGGCTTTGGACAAATAACTGCGCCCTGACACTCAGTGGAGAGGGAACACATCTGAGGTAAATGGAGTCCATTATTTCTGCTTTTACGCGCAATATCTATCTATCTATCTATCTATCTATCTATCTATCTATCTATCTATCTATCTATCTATCTATCTAT